GTATACATAGTTAGTAGTTAATATGATATAGCTCATAAGATAAATTACACCTGTGTGAACTTGAGGGCAACTGACTTCATATATCTACTGAAAATGACCTTGACACCAGTTGAATGAAAGCTAGACAAAAAAAAAAGCGGTTAGCTCTGAGAAAAAGTGTGGTTTCAGTGTCCAAATACTTTTAGGACCACATTAGAGCCTGCCAACATAAAAAAAAAATAAACATTTAACCTTGTCCAGACATTAGCAGGCAGGTAAAGTGAAATCTCCTCCACACTCCTTGGCAATTGTTCGGAAACTTGAAGTCAAAGGTCACATGTGCACCTGTGTCTTAGACCAAACACTGAACTTGCCACCAACAGAGATCTTTCAACTCTTACGGCTTAGAGGCGCTGTTCCTTCATTCCCGAGGACACCGGCAGAAGAATTCCACAGTCCACAGAGGAATTACTTGAAGTCATGTACACTGGAAAAAATCTGGTGGAGGATTTACTTTGAAACAATTTTCACTCTCAGAAATCGCCAGGAAATTTCACAAATAATTACAAAGAAACATGAAGTGACACACTGAATTAAATGCAAACTTTTGAAGTAGAAAGACTGTAATAATATTTTCTTGTAAAATGTACTCCAATAATCACTGATTTTACTATTAAAAATAAATCAGTCTATGTACTAGATAGCATTTCAGATATTGAGTATTGATTAATTTAATCATCCCAGGAGGTAATGCACTTTAAATGGAAATCTATGATGCAAGTAATTTCAGCATAAATGTAATGCTTAAATGCATAAATGTACACTGTTAAAGCAGTTATATCAATTATACAATAATGAATTACATCAATTCTTTATATATTATATTAGTTATTACAATACAATACAATACATTGACATGTTTCTTGAGTACCAAATCAGCATATTAGAATGATCTTTGAAAGATCATGAGAGACTGAAGACTGGATTAATGATGCTGAAAATTCTGTTTTGCCACCACAGGAATAAAGTACATTTTAAAACATATTCAAATTGAAAAGAGTTATTTTAAATTGTAATAATATTTCACAATATTACTGTTTTAATGTATTTTTGATCAAATAAATGAAGCTTTTTCATTTAAAAGAGGATTCTTCTTCTTCTTCTTCAAAAACAAGACTTCTACAGCTAGTGCATTATTGCAGCCCTTTTTTTTTTTTTTTACAAACCAGTCAAAATTAAATCATGTCAACCCAGAACATTCCTTTAACTCCAAACTTGAATTAGACTATATGAATAAATAATTGAACTCACACTGACATCAGTTTATGCAAGTCAGGGAAATCCCTGCACTGCTGATTTATTCAAAGCTGAGGAACAAAAAGGAATGGGGCAGACTTGTCGATAAAACTCCTCACATGTTCAACTGCCAGGTGCATTTCAGCTGAAACTCTCAAAAAAAAAAAAAAAAGACCTAAAATTCAGTTAAGAGCAAACCAAAATACATTCCAGTGTCCATCAAGAAATTACTCCAAATAACCAATTCATAGTCACTGAAATACTCAGAAGGACCTCAACAGATTAAATCTGAATCTAAATTTTTAATGACACTCAGGTCATGTGATCTGCATGTCTAAGGCATTGTTGACTGAATAATACTAATGTTGGCCAGAAATGACTGTGTCTTCTTAAAGCTGTTATACAGATCTATATGCGGCGTCCCCTAGAGACCGCAAAACTATTTCTACAAGTTATGAAGGGGCAACAATTTCAAAACTTTGGATCAACTGCAGGAATATTTCCCACAACTGCTGAGGAAAAGCCACTGCCAAATACTACAAAAATACCTCTAACATAGATATTTTTCATTATCTCTGAGTGCTATTCAGCCAGTGAAGGCAATACATTACTGTACAGGTCTACATTCTGTCATAAAGAATGATTTTAATGATGTTCAAAATCCCAAATTGAATGTACAGATGTGTCTTTAATTGTGCGTATTGATTTTGGCTGGGAAAATCTGAAAAAGTAGGGGTCAGGTTTGCTGTTCCAGGTACTGTTTAGAAGAAAGAAGGATTTGGAGAAGTTTAGAAGCTCTAAACCCCTCCCACAAACTTAAAGACCGCCCACTCATTAGCATATAACGTCTAAAGAGGCTTCTGACTCCCTCTTGTGGGAGGTGTAATTTGGGTTAAGTGTTAAGTAGGATGTCTTGAATAAAAACTTGAGCCTTCACAGTGAGAACTTAGGTTATGATTATTAGTTGAATTATACAGGAAAGTTTCAGTATTAAATGCCAACTGAAACGAAGTAAACAGACATGAGTGTTTGGACTCTATATGTGCGTATCATTTATTAAATCAGTCCTTTTGCAGCTCGCGTACTTATCTGGTTGGTTATGCGAGAGAAAGCCAAGGTCAGGCCAGCTGTGAGCGGTCACTTCTCTCCGTCCCTTTGGATCCTGCGCTTCTCGTGCTGGTGTTTGGTGATAACATACTTGAAGAACTCGTAGACGGACCAGCTGATGGCAGTCGAGGGCATCTGGTATATGACCCTGGCCTGAACGCCTTTGAAGTAAGCAGGAAGGCCGCCAAGCCTGTAGACAGTCCGGAAGGCATGGCCGAGGCCTGTGATGTGTCTTCCGCTTTGGCTGATGGAATTGAGTGGCAGAGACTCCTGCTCATGAAGTGCAACGCCTGGAATGGGATGTTCATGGTGAGCTGCGTGGTGTAGCTGCGATAAAAGGCCAGCGCCCCCTCCTGCTGCCACACGCAGCGTATACAGTCCAGAACGCCACGGTATGGCGAGTTATACATCTGCATCCTCTGCTTCACCACTGAACAAGGGCGGTCGTCGCAGCCAGTCAGACAGGAAACAAAAGAGGACAGGAAGGGGAACATTAGGCAAGTGCAAGAAGTCAGGTCATGACTGAAATACAGTAGCCCCATCAAAGCAGAAATGTCCGGACATGAGTGGATCAAACGCGTCTCCAGTCTGACCTACAGTCAAGCGGTCTGCGGGGAACAGACGAGGTGAATGAGAGCAGGTGTCTATGCAAGGCCTCAGTCTGGCACCTGCGCTGAATAACCTTGAGCCTCAAGAGTGCAGAAACAGACATTGCTGTCTGAGATTTGGCCCACTTGGGAATTTCGGCTAATGCTACTGTTTCAACATTGCACAGCTGTTAATTAGAGCAAGGCCAATCTACTCCCACAAGGCTGGCTTTTGGATTTTTTTTTTTTTTTTTTTTGTGAAATTAGCCAGGAAATTAGATCTTTTCTGCCATCTCCTGGCTGGTAGCGCACAGTGAACTTCCAGACCAAAGGAGTCAAAGTTTGCTGGTTAGTAGGGCTGCAACAACTCCATTTGTGCATTTTTGGAAGAGTATATTGTGCAGGATGTGGAATAACATGCTATTTTTCAATAAAACAGAGAAATTAAAGTTAAATAAAGATGTAATTATTTAAATAAAATAAATGGAACAATAACTATTGCAGCCCTACTAATTAGCATTGGTGTAATAAAATTTTTTATTTCTTAAGTAGCTGTGTAACCTGATCAAATTTAGCAAACAACAAAAGTCTTACAGTGGTACCATGGTAAAGTGATGGTATCTGATAGTACCACCATGGCACTTTGATAAATACCATGTTAAATCAAGATATTTCAAAGAACACCATGGTAAGTGCCCAAAAATGTTATTGTCATGACAAAACAAATCCAACATATATATCCAATCTAAAACAAAATAAAAATAATTACACAATAAATATACACTACTGGTCAAAGGTGTGGGGTCATTATGATTTTTTTTTTATGTCTTTTATGCTCACCAAGAATATAGAAAAATACAGTAAATTTGTAATATTGTAAAATATATTTACAATTTAAAATAACTGCTTTCTATTTGAATATATTTTAAAGTGTAATTCATGCCTGTGATGCAAAGCTGAATTTTCAGCAGTAATTACTCCAGTCTTCAGTGTCACATGATCTCTCAGAAATCATTCTAATATGCTGATTTGCTGCTCAAGAAACATTTATTATTACTATCAATGTTGAAAACATTTGTGCTGCTTCATATTTTAGTGGAAACTGTGATATATTTTTTTCAGAATTCTTTTGATGCATAAAAAAAAATCAAAAGAACATAATTTATTTGAAATAGAAATCTTTTGTAATATTACAAAATGTCTTTACTGTCACTTCTGATCAATTTAATGCATCTTCACCAAATTAAATCTTTTATTTCTTTCCAAAAATAAAATAAAAATAAAAATAAAGGATTTCACCCCAAACTTTTGAATAGTAGTGAATGGTATATTAAAATCTTATTTTATTTTTTAAAGAAAGTGGAGATTAAAGCAAATATACCTTCAGCTGGATTCATTGCAGCATCGTGAAGCAATGTGGCAACACATCCAGCGGCCCCTGTAACACATACCCTCAGACATTAGCACCAAAATTAGAGCATGCACACAGAGTGGATAGTGACTGGACTGTGGACTCAAAATACAACAATCAGATATACAGACGGATCAGATGATAGTCAGTCAAAAACTGTGTCCTGAACAGCCACCAAATACCCCCTATGATTCAACAGAGAGATTAGGGATTGACTGGATAAACTCTGGGGAATGTAAAGTCAGGAGAAAAAGAGTCTTTTGTTCAGGATACTGGCATTTACTTCACTCATCGTGCCTGTTTTATGGTAAGAAGCAAAAACTGCTGCAGCTTCAATAATAATTTTCATTCCTTTTCAGGCAATTCTACTGGTAAATGGTGATATGGCAGCAGTTACTCACCACCCTTTCACTCTTGATCTGGAGGAAAGAGAAAGAAAAGAGACACTACACAAAAACACCAACAATGACTTTCACCATGAGCTCTGAAGTGGAGGATAAGGCTAAATACCCATTACAGCACAATCTGACAAATACAATAAAATATAAACCCATAACACATCAATAACCCAATTTTCTATTACTCTGCACATTAGAAAAGTTAGAAAAGCTTATATTAGATTACATGGACGAACAGCAGGCCAGTTTAGCTTGCATAGTGACATTACTGTAGGTTTAGCTTTTAAGGTATTTCAACAAAGCTAGCGATGCTATTCAGTTCAGTTTATCATAAAGATTTGCACTGATTTGTTTGTCAGATGTTAAATATACAACCTGAAGGTAATTCATTAAAACAAAAATAATAATTTAAGCAATTAAAAACATGGATTATTTGTTGCAGTGCATTGTATGTTCAAAGATTTACTACCCACATGATCTTCTCTTTATTTATAGCTGCTCTCGTGATATCAGAGAGCGGCATTTTTGGCTATTTTGGGATTTGACCTCATACTAGAAGGACATTTTTAAAGAGGTAGATGTTTGAGTAATACATGATTCATACAAATAACATAGTCACTGGCAAATAGCTAGTTCCAGGATGTTGATGGCTTTAAACCACTGCTGAACTTCACTTAATTTTGATGCTGTCATTGCTACTAATAATAAAGTTGAAAAGTTCTTCTGAAAAAGCAAAAAAGAACACATTTACTGATTGCACTATGTAGAAATGTGCCGGCGAGAGAATTAACAGTGCTGATGGGTGGGAAAACTGGTACCGTTCGCCAAATGACTGTTCGCTCCTGGATGGATGATATCACCGAGGACCTTTTTCAACCTTTCGTAACAGGCGAAGTACAGTGCGTGGGCTGGCCCCGCCCCTACAGCTGTAACATTCAGACCCCTGATTGGCCTCCAGATTCCCTCCGTCCTCACGATTCGCCACAAAGCGTCCATCACGTTACGGTAGCGGGCAGCTGGCTCTGGCTGAAGGCTCTGCATGCGCGTCTGCAACAAAGAACAATTGTTTAAACTTACAAGCCCTACTATGTAGATTAAAGTATTAGTATAAATACAGGTATTAAAAACTTTCATTCAAAAATTTCAGTTCAGATTTGTTCTTGGACTTAACGATATTTAAAAAAAACAGCAACAAATAAATACATAAATAAATACATTAAAAAAAAAATAGCATGCAGTGAATTTCTTTCATTTCAACCCATTCTGATGCTTTCAAAACTATTACAAACTATTCAATTACAACAAAACATATTTTAGACAGCTAGAAAATATTACATTGTTGATATTTGAATCAGCAGGATTTGCAACAATTTTTTTATGCTTCATTTTTCAGCATTTTTTCATAAAAACTTATAGAAAAAAATGTTAGAGAAGTTTACATTTGCAATAATAATAAATAAAAATATAATTAACAAACATTAGATAAAGTGACAATTCAGCACTGGTCATGTTTCCCTCTATTTACTTATTTTTCATTATCTCAGGCCAACAAAATCAGCAAGATATTTTATTTTTTATACTACATTTTTCAGTATTTTTCACATAAATACTTACATTTGCAAAAATAAAACAGAATAAAGTAAAAATTGAAAAATTGAAAATTGAAAAAAAAAAACATGACGAACAAACATACTCGAATCGATGCATCACTGGCCCAATAGGGTAAGTTTCCTCCTATTTATTTATTTTTCATTTATTATCTCAAGCCTGCAACAAAATATGTATCAATGCAACACCCACATACACACAACATAGTGAAAAAAATAATTTAAGTGTGAATATTTATGAATTTTACATTGAAAGAAAATCAACTTAAAACACATCATAAAAACAATACAGTAAAAAACAACAACAACAACAACCATGACAGAATAAAGCTTTGCAAACAATGCATCACATAGCCAAGTCATTGGATCTGTAGATCAGAGCTGAAGTTTGCAGCAATAAGGTCAGCAGGGAGGGACATAATCTAACCACCTAATCTGCTTTTCCAGCAGATCTACAGTATCACCGGACATACATGAGAATAGTGGATGCAATTCAGTACCTGTAACCAGCTTCTACAGAAACACTGGCATTGATTCAACAGGGAAACAATGTTAGTACTTAGTAATGTACTTGGTTGCACAACACATTTTGTAGAGTTACATTGTGGCCTTGAACCTATACCACAAAAGTCATGTTTGAACTGACATGGTCAGAGAGGCTGAAAAAGTTCAGAACAACAGCTGCAAGCCTGCAATGTGGTGAAATTTAAGATGCCTGCTGTGGTTGCATGAGTAACAGTATTCCTGTAAGGAAACAATACTTCCATAAAACGCCCGGGAAATAATCATATTTGCCAATAAATGTGTGCAAACTATGCCTAAAGCCAGTTCCTCATGACAGGGGAGTGAGGAACTACAACCTCCAACAGGTAGTTTCAAGACTGCTCTTGAAATGCTCAGGATTGCAAAATGGACCAGGGAACAGAGACAAAACTGATCAGATTGAAGTGATCTTTTATTACAATGAGTTACTGAATTTCTACCAAGAAACAGCCAACTGAGATTAAGGTGTCCAACGTTCACAAAAAAAAAAAGTGCTTTGACCCTGTAGTACATTTACCACCTAGAAAACAATGTACAAGAACTATGAGAGCAAAATGTGCTGGGAGCTTGGTACATGAACAAAACAAACACTATAGAGTTCCCGTCCTTTTTGACCAATCAATTTCCTTCCATAACTTTTTTAGTCATTAGTGATTACTGGATAAAAAATTTTTATAATTAATATAATATTTTTTAATATTAACAAACAAAAAAACAAAAACAAATTAAGTGCAGAAATAAAGTGTCTAGAAATTACTGTGGGAACTCTTGAATTTATAAATAGACAGGATGTTACCAAAAAAAGAAGAAGCACAATAAACAGTAGGATTGAATGCAGAACATCTCATGGGAAAATAAAATATAATATAATACAATACAAAATAATATAGGTTTGAAACAAAGCAGAACTGTACTCATTTTCAGTAATTTACCAATTACATCTGCACTTTCAATTTTAATTATATTTCATATGTTTTTTTTTTCTTTTAGTGAAATCTAGGAACCAAAGATGTATCTTAGTCTGTGCTATAATCTATACAGTGGGTATAGAAAAGAATCATCCCCCTTTAAAATAATCACATTTTGTTGCTTTGCAGCCTGAAATAAAGACGTTTTTTGTTTTATCCTGCTGTATTTACTCAGTGCAACTTATAACATCCAAGTGAAAGATATAAGACCAACATGTCAGAGAAAAAAAATAAAATAAATAAAAACAGAATCACCGAGTTGGAAAAAGGATCACCCCCTTGTGTCAGTATTTTGTTCAACCACCTTTTGCTTTAATTGCAGCCTGTAGTCTGTTGGGATTTGTCTCTACTAACTTTGCACTAGTGCTGTGTTCGATGCGACGATGAATCGTCACAGAGATTTGACGATACGAGTATCGATACAGCAGTCTCTGTATCGATATTGTGGCACGTGCGTTGCAGTGGACCGCGCTTAATTTGAATACAAGAACACCGTTTAAAATGGAGTAGAAAAGTGCGAGGTTTCTAAAAAATAATAAATAGAGCAAAATATATAGGCTACGAGGTTTAATCTGGCCGCAGAGGAACACAACTGGGTTGCCTGAT